CGAGGCTAGCCGGGGATGGAGGAGGTTTTTGGTGGGGTAGACATAAAATCATAAATCTCTTACCACTTTAGGCCTCTGAAGAAGACGAATAGCTCGAAACGTTAGGCCGCCACTTACTAATAAATACTAACCTCGATTGGCTTACTAACTACTCACAATTACTCATAGTTTTGATTTCAAAATTTATGTGGTAGAATGCTGCAATCATCCTCTACAAAACAACGGTTTATGAGCCCAGGACGATTGACATATACCTTTGTGCAAATAATGAAATTGTCGTACTTATACTTCTAGAAGGCGCAAAAACCTAATTTTTTGGTAGTCATAATTCATTCCGTAACTGGAGATTCTTGAGACATTTTCAAGGGATTTTATGTCCACAGTGTAGAGGAGGCTTTGCGCTATCGAATCGTGGTACTGGCGTTCACCAACAATTATTCTTCCGAAAATGGCAACAAAAAGTATGCAAATGCCACCCGCGTGTCAGTGGCCGTTTTGTTTTCAAAACACGTTTGTAAGCTACAGAAACGTGCCTGTCACCGGATTCAATGCTACAATGCTTTCACAAAGCTTCTAGATAAATATTTATTTCTTTTCCACTGATGAAAATGAACTCCAACCTCATTGGAGTCAATTTCTGCTTTTTTTCCGCTCATTCGCACCCCTAAAATGTGCAGTTTGTGAGCATGTAGCAAACACATGACTTTGTTTAAACGTCGATAATTTTCTTGTCAGACCATCCTAGATTTTGCGCTTACAGTATGTTGCAGCCGAAATCTTGCTCTTTCATGTGGTGTGTTCCTTGCATCACAGGACATTTTCCTATGAAGAAGCAGAAGATTCTCTGCAAAGTTACCTGCGTGCTGCGCGCAACTTAATCAGTAAGATATTTTCTGATTTTTCTCAAGCCACACTTAGAAACTCCAACTCATGCTATAGGCTCACAATGATAAAACTTTACTGAAACAAAATAGCTTTTTGCCTATCGCTGATCTCGTCTTGCACGAGTTTTGCGTTGCAGAATACACGCGCAAATAATTCTGGTGCACCCTGTATATTAGGTTGGCGGATAATTTCTGTTACATTTTTATTTTTATTTCTTAAAAATCTAAGGAACTTTCGAATATACGTATGTTTAAGGAGTGTTGGCGGGGTGCAAAGGTCTACCCGCCGGTACTGTCAGATCCGCGGTCCGTGCGCAAACCACCCACTTTATCGGGTGGGAGTACATTTTATGGACTTTTTGTCAGCGGGCTGGCATTGTTTCAGGTGTTTGGGAAGAGACAGGGAGATGTGGTATTTGGGCAGGGTATGGTCCATAGTTTTTAGCGAACATAGGGGGATGGCACAATCATGTCCACACACATCACGCGAGCTACATGTTGCGCCATGTCAGCGCACATTGGCGTTTTGACATTACAATCTTTAAAAGTTTACAAAAATTATTTTCAACCTTTCCGTATCAAATCCTACACGATGTACACAAAAAGAACAATTTTCGACGAGTTTTTGATTTTTTGTGTCGTTTTCACCCCCTGTTTTTGGCGTGCTAGCGGCGGAAAGTGCTGCCATAAAAGAGACGATGTAAAAATATGTTCCAAAAAATTTATGGAAGAGAGAAAACACAATTAGAAGCAGAGAAAAAAAAATTAAAGAAAAAATGACAATTTTGAGTGTGCCTACAAAGTTGTCGTAAATTTGTTGGCTAATTGTGCATTTGCGGCATCAGTCATACTGTTTTGTGCGCTTTGCCGTGGCCTACATATGGAGCAAGTTCGAAGATTCTGGAGAACTTCTGGAAATTTTCAGAATTTTACGAAAAAAGTGTAACAGAAATTATCCGCCAACCTAATACATAGGAAGCTAATGGGGTTGTTTTGAGTGCAAATTACTGTTGAGGGTTGTCTGCGAGAAATGTCTTTTAAGTTTAAATGGCTACTTTATGCTTTTTCAGTGCCTACATTGTTTTTGCAATATCTTGCGCATCTTTTGGATTCATCACTTATTCGGGAATAGTATAGAAACAACGTTTGCTGTTCCAGAATTGGTTTCGGTTAGGGGCGAGTTGAAGCTTTTAGTCTATATGTGAGTATAGACTAGAAGATTTAAGAGTAGCTGGGTTTGAGGGCGACACGCTCCTCATCTTATATATAAAGCTGAATGTCTGTCTGTATGTATGTCTGTATGTCTGTCTGTACGTATGTGCGGAATAGAAATTTTTATTTCTGAACCGATCGGGACCAAACTTGGCACACATATACTTCGGGGCAGGGAGCGTGTCATAGGCTACTTTTCGTTATCGATCGATATCGATTTTATCGATTTTTATCGATTTTTTTTGCTGAGTTCACCTACGGGGCTGGGAGTTGGCACAGGGGGGTAATCGAGCATGGGGATTCCGAATACAATATTGGTTTTCAGGATTATCGATTACTTTTATCGATTTTATCGATTTTTTGCAAAGTTTGAGCTACGGGGCTGGGAGTTGGCACAGGGGGGTAATCGAGCATGCTGATCATCCCCAAGGGGGGTGATCAGCATGCTCGATTACACCCCTGTGCCAAATTTCAGCCCCCTAGCTCAAATTTTCAAAAAACCGATAAAATCGATAAAAGTAATGGACGATCCTGAAAACTAATATTGTGTTCGTAATCAGCATGCTCGATTACCCCCCCTGTGCAAAATCCCAGCCTCGCATGTCAAAATTTACAAAAAATCGATAAAATCAATAAAAGTAATCGATAATTCTGAAAAATATTGTATTCGGAATCCCCATGCTCACTTCCCTCCTGTGCCAACTCCTAGCCCTGTAGGTGAACTCTGCAAAAAATCGATAAAAATCGGTAAAATCGACATCGATCGATAACGAAAAGTGGACTGTGAGACCCGCCGGGGCCCGAAGTGTATGTGTGCCAAGTTTGGTCCGGATACGGCGGAGCCGGGTAAGCCAGCTAGTCAAGAATAAAATAAGCAACTTGGTGCAAATTTCATGCCTAACGTGAGAAACGCTTCCACTCAATGTCAGTGTTTGCTATAGCGACAGCTAGTTGACTTTCAAAATATATAATACATGCTTCTGTCCATGTGGTAGAGTCGTACGGGAATCTCCTCTATTTTTCGGGAATGGAGCGGATTCATTGAAGTCTTTCAGTCCAATTTCTGTCCTACGGTCGCCGTAATCGCGCAGAGGTGCCTGTGTCCAACAATAAAAGTGACGTCGTTTTATGTATGCGCGTATCCCATGATTCTTTTTGGTTCTTTGTGCAGTTTAAACGTTTTTTAATGCTTTTTGCGAAGGGGTTCAAGTATACGCATTCTCCAAACTCTCCACTCTTCATTCTACCGTAACCTTCAAAGGTTTCAACATTTTCTTCCTCTTTAGAGTAATCTTTGACATTATTTATTGGGCGAACTTGCTGCATAATTCTAAAGTGTTTTTGTGTGGAGACATCTCAATTTTCGCATCCTTCTTCTCTACATACTCACCATCAGTAAACTTTTGACTATACAGATTTTCGTTGCTTTGACATCAAAGATAAATGTATTCGAAGTTCGTAGGATGGATTTGAAACTTCAAGTGCATTTTTTCAATGAATTTTGACCAAAGCTCTTCAGACGATTCATTCTCATCCTTACAAATACATTCTCAGTTCAATTCATCACATTCCTCGAGATATGTTGACATAACAGCCAAAGCTCATATTTCGCTACCAAACACTTATTTGTATGACGATTTCAACAGAAGTAGACTAAAAGCGGATGTTAAGCACTTTTATTTCTTGTCAGGCGCCCTTCAATCAAAAACCATTCCATGTTTAGGCATCAAAATCGTGAACAAGTTTTATAGCAAATGTTGAAGTATATGCATGCAAATAACAACATTGCGTCAACTTGGTTGTTTATTCTGTGAGTGTCGACGCTTTTGCGGTTTCTGTAACAGCCATTCCATGCAGTAGGATTACCATGTTTACGCTTTACAACCATCGTCAAAGTGTATGACGAACATTTTTTTCTCCTTGCCCGTCGTATCGATAACAATCCCTCCTGACTATGTTGGCCAAACGCGGAAACTGAGATCATCCATCAATTACTGTACAAAGTCCCTTTCTTGACTTAGATCTTCTGAAATGTACCAATCGTTTGACCATCTATGGTCAAGACTTTTTTCCTTCATTCCGAAGGTTATGTAGGATACGGTATCGATGAGCTGTTCCATAGGTTTGCCGGGATGTATTGCCGGTTTTTTATTACTGTGGAATTACGATGTGGGTTCTGCGACATTGGGGCCAATGCTGCAGCATAAGAATATTCTGAACTAGCTGAGAGCAAGACTACCAAAGAGAACATTACTGCAAAAGATGAATACTATAAAATGGAATCAGATTCAGAATCAGCTACTCTTTTTGACCTAGTCAGGTAAGGTAGTCAGCGATTGTTCAGAAGTTATGAACAACAAACAATATAACTGATTTCTCGAATGTGTTCAAACTGCTTGAAGAGCACTTAAAACGTAGCCTAAGAAACTCTTTGATATGAGTAAGCTAAAAAGTCCTTCACCAAAGCATGTAACTTATATCTTTCGAAAGTTGAATACTATAAAGTGCGAGTTTCATATCTAGAACAGCTTAGCTAATAAAGTGAACGAATGAACTCTGTAGGGCCTAGTTTCCTCATGAGTAAATCCAGTTTTTTTTTTCAAAAGAAGTTTAGAGTAGCAGCTACGAGTTTTGAGGCTATGGAAGCTACCGAGAGCCCCTAAAAATGGATAATCGGTGGTTTGTTCTTGCAGTAATCAAAGGCGAAAGTAGCTGCACAATCCTCAAGGTCTTAGGGACAAAAGGGAGTGGGTTAAGAGGCTTAAACCAACAATTCCTTTGGCTACACGCGTAAAATATTTATATTCTGGTTGACACCAATTTCGTAAACTTTTTATGACGTCATACATCTAAATATACCAGCTTCCGGTATCACACTTCGTACTTCGCCACTTATGGACTGACTCAACCGTTGCGCCTACCGCTCGCACCACTCTCAACCAGACAACCACCGTTATCGTCGCTATCGATTCCGACGGCGTTTTCATCTCTTCGTGACAAGTCGCCGTGCTGATACCGACCATTACGATCACGAGAACCTATTTCGACCATTTATGTCTTTGCGGCACCCATCGTTCGTAGAAGCAGCTACAGATTGAGTGTTTGACCTCTGGTAATTTGCTCATAGCAGCGCAGATTATCTCTTGCTCAACCACAATCCGCTCTAATTTCCATTTTCAAGACATAAGCTTCTTATCAAATGTTGTTTGAGTGAATCAATGAAAAATTTTTTGAGCTATTTCTTATCTCCTGCTGATCATTCATTGCATTTTTCATACTTAATTTCGTGGTTATTTATCATGTTTCAGCTTAGATTATTATATAATATATTCATCTCTGGCTATGCACCAAATCAAAACAACATATGAATTTGTCTGATTTTGGATTTCTAGTTTTGTGCAATTTGAGGAAACTCCGGCTGTCTAAATTTTCCTCATGTTAGTTCTAGTGGGAAGGCTTCCGGTTTTTGCCTTGAAGTCTGAGAAGTTTGTCAAAAACAAATCATGAAACTTTGTTCAGAGGAAAGTGAAGCTTTTGCGAAGTCAGTGAGATTATTCCAGTTGGTAACGAAAAACAAGTGACTTTTGTAGAAAACAAGTACCTAATTTTGGAACTCATATACACCACTTTATGGAATTCCACGAGTTCTCAGGACGGGAGCTTTGAGACGGACAAATGAAATATCAGTTTTGTGTGCAAGCTACCAGTGTACTTCTAGTACTCTGATAAGCTCCGAGCATTGCAGTACACAAAAGCACAAAATTATAACCTCAGCCCATGATTCCTCCCACTTTGATAATACAAAACGAAACCAACCACCACTGATCATAGATAGGAAACGGAAGATAAAAAAGCCACGAACCTTCGAACTTCAAGAATTTTGGAATTTCCCACTGCTCTTCATTGGACAAATTGACAGTTCTCCTTTTTGACATCGGTGTCAACCGGTTTCGCACGTAACCATAGAAAACAATCAGTTGTTATCACAGCCATTTACGTCCTGCTTCACTTCACGTTGACTTGATATTTTTATTTTGTTAGAAAATAGAAGTTTGTTTCAAATGTTTCTCTTATTTGATAATCGCTTTTTACGACTCTTCACTCACTGATCCATTCGAAAACCCCAAGCGCTGATAGATCCAAAATGCGTATGCTATGACATTTCGATATGAGTTTATTTAAGGTGGAGTCTGACAACCCCGCAAAAGAGCTGCTAGATTGTGTGTGTTTGTTTGCGTAAGCTGCAAAGTCAAGAACCCGTAAAAAATGTCCGCCGATGCTCAGCCAAATCCAAAACAACGTGCTAATATAGCATATCCGCCAGAGCCACCGATCGGTTTGCCAACGCGTGAGAAGGCGATCGTCGGAGCTTTGGTGAGCATCGTGGTCCAGTGCCTGAGCCACTTCGGACCCGAACTTCGGTGATTTTAGTGCGTGGTGTGCGGTGATCGGGCCTGCTCACACCTGTACTACGGTGTCGCCGCCTGCCATGGATGCAAGTGTTTCTTCTGGAGAACCGTCAAGAGCGGTCTCACCTACACGTGTCGCTTCGACGGTAAATGCTCTATCTCAACAGGTCAGTCGGGTCAGAGGTTGTTTAGATTAGACTGGCAAGAAGTTTGCGAACAAATTTGGAACAAAATGTGGTGCTTGTGCAGGATTGAAAATCTGCAGTTGTATGCAGCATACTCAAGCAAGTGGGAAGAGGTTAGGATCAAAAGGGGCGGAGCTTGCTATTTTTCAATTATCTCATTTCTTGTTATCCAGGCGCGAATTACGTACTTCCCGTGCAAGGCATGTATATATGCATATAATACGCATTGCATGTGTAAGAGTCTTAGCGTTCACAGAATGTGGAGGTCCAAGTTTGGTCAAAATTTATTTTTAGAAATTTGCTTCTATTTTCTTAAATCATTGATTAGGCTCGATGTATGGTCTAGGACTTATTTCCTCTATTCCAAAGAAATTTCACATCCCCCCATTTAGTACTCACATCCAGGCAAAAACATTGTGGAGATGATGCGTTCGAGATGCCAACCTAATAATTTGACAACTTCTTCATCGCTCTACCATTTCGTCTCAATTTTTATTGGCTCTAAATCATTAATGAAGATCGTACTTTCATGTTTGACTGTTCGTTGCATTCTCTGATACTGTGTGCCTCTCACGTGACACTCTAAATCTTTTCGATTTGCACAAAAAGGCTTCCCGAATGTCAAATCCAATTAAGATCTAGAACTGCAAATTAATAAGATGGGGGTTCATTGAACTCCTTTCGTCGACATTTATCCTGTAATCAAGGAAGTGCAGATCTTTAATCTGATATTATGGTTTCTCTTTTGGATTAATGACAAATAAGGAGGTGAGGGTGCCAAATCACTTAGGCGACTTAGGTGCCCGTTTTTTTATTAAAGCAATAACCAATAGCTCAGCAATTAGATTCAAATTTCTTGTTTTCACTTGCAAAAAAATCGAAATTTTATCAGCTTTCTTATCTATAATCGGGCATAGGTTCAAGTGCGAAAATAGTCTAAAAGAAAACCTTATTCTGGCTGCGAATTCATGCAGTAAAATAGACAGGCCCTCATTTTAACATTTTACGAATCCGGTATGTGTGAAATTTTCATTCATAAAATACTAGGGTGTCTCATAATTTTTTACCGTCTTTACTACAACCGTCGTCTTTTTGTGTCCTTCTTACAACCCTTCAATTGATACGGCTTGAGTAATCATTTGATTTTGACAGAGCAAAGCAAGCTCTATAAGATGGCTATCAAGAGTCTGCCGGAATCGTATGCCACTTAATTTTGAGCTGCAATATGATAGCAGTCGAAAACGAACTTTACCGTAAAGAATCGTGTCTCCGATCCCACTGCTATTCTGGCACATGCTTGACAATCGAAGATACAATTGCACAGTTCCCGTATTTTTCTCCATGGCTAGAAAATGAAGAAAAAATGAATGGAGTAGCATGACAAACTCCGCTCCTAGACGTCCTGAGCTTCTCCCACTCACGTGGTTATATAACTCATAGTCTGCCGTCTAAGCAGAAAATGTCTTCTATACCACTTTCACAGTTGGTTATACAGATTGGATATTTTTGTAGATGATCTATAAATAGAGAACTTATTGTTCAAAATTGTTTTGAAGTCTCAAAATCAATTTTAACTGAAGCGATTCTCTACCTAAAAAACAGCTATTGAAAAAATCCACATTTCAGAAGATAGTACATAGTGTACCCTACAATATCAACGCGGAAGTTTTGCTTTTCGTGAAACTATCCGATTCTTCAATGATAACCTTAGATACCGAGCATTTCGGTCCTCTTGAAATCTTAATTCTGTACTGAGTCGTGTAGAGCTCATTCTGTGGCAAAAATTCCTGATTAAACTCCCTATTTTATGGTGACACTGCCACGAAGTTGACCTCAATAATTTTGGCGCATCTGTTGTGCAAAGATGCAGTATCGAAGTGATAAGGAGACAGAAGTGTCATTGCTGCTTAGACAGCACCAATTTTTCCTTTTTCACGGTGATAATTTTACAAAAGAAATTGCAAACATGTGAATGATTCATAACTGTCCTAAAAGTGCAGGTCACAATCTAATAATTTTAGTTTACAGCTGGCCGTAACGCTTGTCGATACTGCCGCTTCAATCGATGTCTCAAATCTGGTATGAAACTTGAAGGTAAGATCTTGTGGCTGTGACATAATACGATAGAATTCCTTAAGTAGATTTATATCTTTCTCTGCAGTGAAAACATTGGCGATAGGCTAAATACGGTTGTGATCTCATGACCTTCGCGCGCGATTACGGTGCATTAACGACACGCAGCCGGGTAATGTGATCGGGTGGAAAATGTTATTCTTTGGTATCAGCGATAAAATTCGCGGCTGTAGTCGTAAACTGAACGGCAAACACCACATTTGATCAATCTCTATTTGCAAGCGAAGAGACAGTTTGGTATACTGTAGGAAGCAGTGTGAATGATGCAATTCAAAATGACCATTTTTCAGCCGTGCGCATGGATAAGAAGAGCGACAAGGCACTGAAGCGGAAACGTAATGATGCTGACAGCGATGATTTTGATGAGAATCAGGAAAATATAGAAACGGTCAGTACGCAAGCATTTACTTCGTCTGGCTCTCCAAGATCTGCAAACTCTAAAGCTGGAAAAGCTCAAGTTTCAGAATGGAAAAAAATTGCGAAAAAGTTACTGTATACGATGAGTGAAAAGAACTGTAATGAGATCAGTGACTTTGGCCAATGACATCAAAATTCTAAGTCATTAAATATCAGTGAGCTTTTTTCGGATTCTCAGTAAAAGCAAGGCTTGAAAAAAATTAGTCCGCACAGACGAGCATACATAATAATGCAAAACAACTTTTTCTTGCTTTTAGCCTGCCATAAAGCAGCAGCGTATGGATCATCGTCTTCTCATCTCATCTTTGATGCTCATCGACAAAACCGCTAGTGATGGTAACGGGAAAATGTCTCTTGGACGTGATTTCGTCTCGCTAGCCATGGTTATAGACGAGCCCGATATACTCGACGTCGATCGTACTGAGGTAGCACTAACGAAACAAGTGTAGCTATGCTAACACAGCAAACAATGCCAATGAAGATTGATGAAAAGAGTCATCTCAATCCATTTAGATGTGCTTCCGCGCATGCACACCAGCAGATGAAGTTGCTTGTGCTGAAAGTGAACGACGTCTTCTAACATGGGCAATCGACTGGACAAGGCAGGTGGCGGACATGGAAGACGCCATCAGCAACACAGATAAGGTGGATTATTTGGTTTACCAGCTAGATTCTTCAGCGAGAACTAGAGCTTAGTTGTGGTTGATAACCTAGTACTTAACCCTACTCAATACTCAAACCTTGTCGACTCTTTTATCTTTGCTGCAGCTTGTTCCAAATCTATCCCAAACAATTGGTCAAAATCTCATTTGTTAGTTTACGAATGGCGAGTTTTCAAACTTGACACTAACAATGCGTGCTCAAAATGATAGAATAATTGAATGGTTAATTTTTCAGATCGCGCTGTTGCGGGCGTGCTGCGTACCACTGACTCTTCTAGAGCTCGGTGCGCGGTCTTGTGCAACAGCTGCACAAATGAAAACTGATTGTGCAGCGTTGCAGATCTTGCCACTGCCTAACAATACCTACCTCAGCACGGATAAGCAACTTCCGAAAAACTGGTACAATTTTATATTAAGTTCATGGTTTCATAGTTCACATGACAATTTCTTGAAGCTTTCTTTCCCTGAACGCCATTCGTTCACTAATGCAATGGACTACGCGTCACTTGAAGCAGCTTCAATTATCTGCAAAGGAACTGGTGCTTCTCAAGGCGCTCATTGTGGTCAACGTTGGTAAGTGGAGTTTTTCTTCTTAACTGGAGACTTTCAAACCTAAATAGTATCAGAAGCACGCATCATATTATAAACTGCGAAGAGACCAGTTATAGGGCGAGCAAACTTTACAGAATGCTTCATAATATTAAATTAGAAACTAAGTTTTAATCCATTCAATAATTTTCTTCTTTCTCAACATGGCGCACTCAAGTTTCCTCATTGTTTGGATTATGACGTAAGCTACAAAGCAGTTGCTGTTCTGCCAAATTCTGACGTCGCAGCGAGGGTTACGGTAGCTGTATGGTATAAAGGGAAAAATTAAAATATTTGACAGATTTGGCTGAAACTTGGCATAGTGGGGTTATCCAACATGCTGATGACGAAAACGATACTGAAATTGCGTGTTAAGGGCTTCTTGTAAAATCACTATAGGTTTACAATATAGAAACAGGGAAAGAGGCGTTATTTTAACGAGTGAATATGATTTCGTGTTTGCCAGGTCAAATAACCTTACTATGATGTGCAAAAGTTCGCACCAACTCCAACCCACTGTAAGTTTGCATCCAAGTCTGAGTCTTACTGAAGGCTCAAAAAATCGCGCAAAATTCATGTCTTCGTTCAAAAAATTCCTACAGTTCTCCAACTTGCTCACAAAAACTGCACACTGCAACTGCACATCAGACATTCATATGTACCGTTCGCGGATTTTTTCCTCATTCAGAAATCGAGAAAACGAAAATTTTCATGTTTTCATAAAAACGGGCTATGCTGTTTTCACTCATGTAATTGCTTATACAAGCCCTTGGGAGTATAACCGTAGATTTTCAATTTTTCACAGGCCCTAGTTTTCGAAAATTACCGAATGTAGCTCTCCTTACTTGGGTGTTCCAATTAAAATCAATCTTTCCCGAAAACTAGGTCTTATAGAAAGCCGAAAATTTACGGTCTTACTCATAAGGGCTTGTAGTACGCCATACGTGAGTGAAAACAGCATAGCTCCATTTTTGTGAAGGACGAAAATTTTCGTTTTCTCGATTTCTGAATAAGGAAAAATCCGCAAACGGTACATATGAATGTCTGATGTAGTGTGCAATTTTTGTGAGCAAGCTGGAGATTTGTAGGAATTTTTTGAACGAAGATATGAATTTCAATTTCACAGCTTTTTGAGCCTTCAGTACGACTCAGATTTTGGGTGCAAACTTACAGTTTGTTGGAGTTGGTGCAAACTTCTGCATATCTTCTTGTAGAGCTTCATTTGCTCTATCGAATGCTGTGCTGGCTCTTATTGAAAATATGAACTGTGCGACTTATCGCCGCAAGAAGGGAGAGTGTCTCAATACTGAACTTACAACCTAATATTAAGTTTTAATTTTTTCTTGTTGAAACGAATAAGACAACCTCTAGCAATAATCCGTACACAATTCCGGATTACCGCGCATAATATAGGCTGTAGTGGCTTCCATCTTTGGCTTACAGCCCCGAAAATCCTCAAAATTCATTAGTTTTCAAAAAATGCCTGAAACTTTCCTAATGTGTTCAAATTCTAGACAGTTGTGCACAATTGTAGCACATACTGCACTCTATATATTGCCAATATTTGAATGCGCCCCATCCAAAGAGAGTAAAGTTATGAAAACAGTTACAAAACTATGTTTCCAGCCTAATATCTCGTTAAAAAAGGACAATATATGTATACGTACGTTATGCTTGCTATGCTTGGTGCACCATGAGAGCTGTCATAACCTTCTTTTGGAAATTTTGATCAACCTTTCACATCTTATAAAGAGAATCACATTGCATAAAGAGAATACTCAGGCCTAGTCTGCGTGACCGCAAAACAAGTCATGATTTTTTTCACAAAACTAACGTAAGTTCATTCCACGGCATCCTTAATAAACGCACACAGTTTTATCACTGATTAGAGGGTCTATGTTAAGGAATAAGTCTTTTACAGCATCGCGTAAAATCAGCGCAGTTCTTTATGAGGCACTAGCTGGCTTACCCGGCTCCGCCGTATGTTCCGAATAGAAAATTCCATTTCTCAACCGATCCGGACCAAACTTGGCACACATACACTTCGGGCCCCGGCGGGTGCCACAGTCCACTTTTCGTTATCGATCGATGTCGATTTTATCGATTTTTTGCAAAATTTGAGCTAGGGGGCTGGAATTTGGCAGGGGGGTGTAATCGAGCATGCTGATCACCCCCACGGGGGTGATCAGCATGCTCGATTACCCCCCTGTGCCAACTCCCAGCCCCGTAGGTGAACTCAGCAAAAATTGGATCAAAGCCTATGACACCCGCCGGGGCCCGAAGTGTATGTGTGCCAAGTTTGGTCCCGATCGGTTCAGAAATGGAATTTTCTACTCGGAACATACGTACAGACACACAGACATACAGACAGACAGACAGACAGACAGACATACAGAGAGACAAACAGACATTCAACTTTATATCATTCTATAATAAAGAATGGCAAGGTTTTGCACTTACATGTTGACAAGTTGCGGAATGAGGCGAGTGATTGCCGAGGGTGCGGAAGGTCCAGATTTGTCAACAAGGCTAGCGTGTTTTCGAAGAGGTAAGCATCGTCCCTCCTCGAGGAATGTTTTCAAAAGGGTGCGTCTACTAAGTGCAAAAAGGCTATAGTGTGGGGAGGTGCCGACACTCTCGTAAGGTTGCTAACAGTATCCCCCCTCTTTCGCAAATTTGTACTCGGATGTATGACTTGGGAATCGGTGTCTTGCGTAAACATGCTGTAGTAGTTTCTCAACGCTTCAACTGTTCACACTCTCATCTTCCTGCTAAAGTTTTTGGCAGCCCGTAGTTTGTCAAAGTTCATGGTTGCTCATAATTGGTGAGGACTGATGAGGACAGTTCTTTGTTCTTCTCGAAATAAAAGTTGGGAAACGGCCCGTAGAGCGATTTTTATAGATCTCTAAGTCTCATAGGGCAATCATCTCTTACACTCCGGTCTATTAGCTGTCCATTGGGTAGATCTTTCAATAAATGTAGTTGTTCATAGGACACTTTCTTGATTTGTAGGGGCTCGTAAGGCAGTTCTGTTAATAGTATTGATCTTCCATAAGCTTCGCATATGGCAAAATTATTTCGACGCTGATCTATAAGCGACCAGAGCATCTCCTAGAATAGTCGGTCTGTATGCGGCGCATAGGGGAGTCCCTTTGAAAGTTGGTTTGCATGAACGTGAATATCGTAAGCGGTTCATAATTATTTTATTGTTTGGACACTGGAAATCACAAATACTTGTTTATAAGGGACTCGCAGAGCGGTTCTTTCTCAAATATCGATCTATGAGCGGCTCTTGAGGCAATTGTTTTTCCAAGATATGTTTTTTTATAACCGGTGTGTAAGCGGCGCATAGGGCAGTTCCTTACCAAGATAATGGCCTGCAAGAGGCCCATGGGCAGTTTCTCATAAAATATCGGTTTGCAACCACCCCTTCCCCCCCCCCTACTTAGGGGGCCTCCTTCCAGGCCCATAGGGCAGTTTTTCCCCTTCAAATATCGGTCTGTAGAATCTCATACAGCATTTCTTTTTTGAAATTTTAGTCTGTAAGAGGCCAGTAAAGCAGTTTTATCACAGAATATCATTTGTATGGATTTCAAGGGCACTTCCTCGAAATACGGTGTGTAGGTATCGTAGCTGGTAGCTCCATTTTTTCGATCAAATCGGTCTTTGGCTCCATAGAGCAGATCATATGTGAGCGCTTCGTACGGCAGTACAGTTTGTAGGGGTTCTAGGGTAATAGAATACTTTAGGATATCGGGCTGATTCCTATAGGGCAGCGCCTTCTCATAATTATTGGTCTATGAGGGAAGGAGGGGGGAGGGGGGGGGGGAGAATGCTTGTAAGGTAGCTTTTTCTCAGAATATCGGTCTGTAGGGCAACCTTAGCGCAGTTTTTTCTCAAGTATGGGTTTGTTGGGGGTCAGGGGAGGGATTTGAGTACTTTCTGAACCGGTACATAAGCTTCTTACAAGGGAACGATCCCAACTTAAGGTGGCGAATTAGAATAAACCGCATACCATTAGATGCGTCTTGATGAGCTGATTCCAAATCTACCTTTCTTATCTGCGACAACGTTATCTGGAAGAAGTTATGAAAGGTTAAAAATGTAAAGTAACGGGGGTTTTGTTGCATAATTTGCTTTAAAATCCAACTTGGAAGTGTACGACTAGCATCATATTGGGTGTGCTGATTTCACGGAATGCTCGCATTCGAAAGAAACGCAAATAAATGTTTCTGAACAGCTAAAAAGACTAAAGTGCTTTGGTAAAAGCATGAGCAATGAAAAGTCCAAATTTGGCAAAAATACATAGGAATACCTCAAAAATTGGTTGTTCAAAAACACTTATCTGTGTTTCTTTAGAGTGTGAGCATTCCTTAAAGTCAGTACACTCAATATCATGCTAGTCATACAAGTTGGATTTTGAAACGATTTATGCACTATAAGCCCCGTTACTTCACGTTTTTAACCTTCCATAACTTCTTCCAGATAACGTCGTCGCAGATATGGAAGGTAGTTTTGCAATTAGCTCATCAAGGCGCATCTAATGATATGCGGTTCGTTCCAATTCGCCACCTTAAGTTGGGATCGTTCCCTTGTTAGATGGCAATCATTTTTTATAAACATCGGTCTATAGGGATTGTGAGTAACTTCTTAACACATTGGTCTGTCAGTGGCCCATAGGGCATGTTCTTCCTATAGTTACCGGTCTACAGTGGCGCGTAGGGCTGTTATTCTTTGATACATTGGTTAGGACGTAAAGATATGTCTTAAGCAGCCTCATAGCTTCTCTTGTTCTCAAAATATTAGCTTGTGGTATACATAGGGCGGTTGTTTCTTGAAAAAGTAGTCCAAGCGGCTCTTTGGGCATTTTTTGAAGGTTGGTTTGAAGATTTGAAGAGCAATTCCTTTTTAAAATATCGGTTTATGCGCGGCCCATAGGGCAACCTCTTCTCGAAGTGAAGGAACGCAAGCGGCTCATAGGCTTCTTTTTCATGTGCAGTTTTTTTTGAAAAATATCGGTTCGTAGGCAGCCCACAGGGCAGTTACTCCTCAAAGTAAGGATCTGTAAGCGGCCCATAGGGCATTTCCTTCTAATGACTGATCACCGTTCGCGGGCAGTTTCTTTCGTCTGTACAGCCCATACGGCTTCCTCGCAATATTAGTGTGTAGGGGGCGTGGCAGATTTACCCAGAATATAATATCATTTATAGTTGTTCAGAGGACAGTACTTTCTCAGGCTAAACTCTGTAGAAGGCCCGTAAGAAAGCTTCTTCTCGTGAAATACCGTTCTGGACAATCCTAGGGCAACTCTTACGTATGTCGCTCTGTAGGCGGTACGCGGAGCAGGGTTTATTCAAAAAAGTGGTCTGTAAGCGACACGCAGGGCATGAGAACAATGCTTGTTTTCGCTGCCGAAATTTTTCGGGAACTAAAGTATGTAGCTGAGTTATTGTAGACTACATCGCTGTTCTGAGAATCGGCTGCTTGGTGACTTTCAGTGAAGGTTGGTGGAAAAGTTTGGCCCAAAGAAAATTTTTAGAAGTGACTCAAAAGATATCGACTATCAACTACGGGGGTTCTTTTATCTAGAGGAGAGTCAAAAGTCATTGATTAATCAGTTTCGTGTTGCCCACAGCTGAAAGGTATAAAACGTAGGTGTAATTGTGTTGAGAATCATACGGCTAAATTGTATTGCCCCAACCCACTTGCAAGCGGCCCTTAGGGTCGCTAGTATAAGATAAACTGTATAGGCACTTTGTAGCGCACAATAGCGCAGTCGTAAACAAATTTTATCCCTCTTCAACATTTGGTGCCTTTGATGAGAAGAAATGATATGAACGGGGTATGATCCTGTGGCATGGAGTAATCTTGAAAACATTGCTTATTGCTTCTTGAAAGATTGATATTTGTTGAAGAAAGAAAAAACTTTAAGATCGTCACATGCATGTAGTCGGAATTGGCAATAATCAAATATAAACGAGACCTCGTTATGATATAAGAGAGACGTAAGGGTTACAAATGGTGGTGTTTGTTCTGTGAGTTTTATGCGATGTTGTATGTTTGCATCAATGCTCTTCGTAAAACCCCGGCGCATTCGAAAAGTAAATCTTGTATTGAAAAATGGTAGATGTGAATTGTAACATTACAAGCACATGAATATTACAAGAAACAACGTTTCAATCACCTGTGTAAAATACATACGTTAACAAGTCGCTCATTCTGGTAGATGGCGAGGAAACACACAACATGATCTACTTTGAAGGTTTTTGCAAATTCGGTCACGAAACGGAAAATCTAGTTTCTCTCAATATTTGCTTTCTTACTTCGAATATCTCAGCTCTATCAGAGAGATCATCTGTGATCGGCACCAAAATATAGGAATGGTTCTCAGTGAGTAAAGCTTTATCTTTAGACGCGCCTGGATTATCCAAGGATGCTGAGCCAGCTGTAAGTGCTCTGCGTGACCGCGTGCACTCTGCTCTTTATCAACACTGTGCGGACACATACGAATCTGCAAAAGCAGCAGGTCGTCTTGCGAAAATTCTGCTGTCGCTACCTCAGCTTTACGTATGTTTTTGTTTGTGCCTCTAATGTTTTTGATTTTTGAAAGAACCTGCGTAGCACGAAATGATGAAGAAGAGACGATGTTGAAGTTGCATATTTGCGCATGACGTCCTTTTTTACTTCATTGTAGTATAAGTTGTATGCGATATCATTAGGCACTTGCCCTCCTGTACATTTATGTACTCTTTGCTCCCAATCACAGCTTTATTTAAGCTACGGTTTTGCTATTGAGTTTTCTAGAGAAAACAAAATCTTGAAAATTCTTCTTTTTCAGTTTTTGCTCTTCTTGGTTTTACAATCGGAAGTTTTGCTGTATACAATTTCGATTAGAAAAAAGGCGGCGTAGTCCCATTGTTTTAGTTTCCACTTCAGTTAATAGTCACTGTAGAAAAGACTCGACAATATTTGATTACCAAAATATTACATTTATTGTGTGAACCAATAAGATCGAATTTACAGCTACTCTCCGCGGAAGTTGTAGAACATCAGAGGATGCGCCATACATTCGCCAGCCCGTATCAGCTGAACCCTCTTCTTGTGCAGCTTTTCGGGGACATCTTCGAAGAGGGCAAAGCTGATGAAGCGTATTTGATGTAAGCCAAAGAATTTCTCTGCACAATTAACCCATCCGTTTATAGTCACTCTGCTTCGTGTAGCCCGTCCAGTACTGTGAGCAGCTGACTAGCGGAGCAAGGAGGTCCCGCGCGGACCTTCAGCCCGTTTTCAGAAGACCGGCCAGTCGCAGATCAGCGCACTGTGGTTAGTTTTTTTAAATGTTGACAGCTAACCTTGACCGCTTTCAGGCTGGCCCTGCACAAAACTTTCGCTGCCATAGCAGCATTTCTTCCCCTACAACAGGAAACTATAATGTGCAGTCGCCAGAAGAGATTAACTCTATGGCTTGGTTTGATTGCGTTGAACAATCATGGTAAAAGTGCTGCATTAAGTCTTGATTAGATTGACTATATTCTTTGCTAAGTTTTGTTGTTCTTTTAAGATTTGAAGATTTTATATGGTGTACATAAGGATGTATTCCAAAGCATAGAAGTTTTGTGTAATTCCGTGTTTCCTAGTTGGCTACTGTATCATGTATGGTTTCATTAAAATCTTAGGCACCTGTCAGGCTTTGGGTGAGAGACCCAAAAGAGCTCAAATCAGTGCGAAAGCGCCCATCTCCACCTTTTTCTCCTCTATCCTAACGCAGGTTCCGCGCCAGCCTAAGAGCGCCAAGACGCTAGCTCGAAATGCGTATGAGAAAGCATGGGGGATGTGAAGAGAAATAAAAACAATTTGAGCTTTTTTGGCCGCTTTCAAGCGCCTTCGGGCGGTTAGAGCGTTTTCAAGCGAAGTCTGACGTGTGCCTCATAGCGTTAATGAATAAAGCTGAATTGATACTCTTGTAGCGTGGCAAGTTGCGGGTCGGGTTCCTTACAGAGCCTCTTTGTTTTTTAGATAAAACAACCCTGGGCGCAAAGAGCTATACCTTGAAAAATCGTCCTTTAAATAGGTTGTTTTGAAAGTTTTACCGTTTCGAGTTCATCTTCAGTTCACCATAATTTTTTTCATGAACATTGCAAGGGCAGTAAACTGTATTACAAACTACAAGTCTTTTAGTAGTTGTAAGCACGTTCAAGAATATCACAGCGAATTTCTCTAAATCAATGACCAACATTTTTTGAGGCCCACTTTGAAGAATCACTACTAATTGATGCGGACTGGTGGAATAGCACTTGCTTATTCTCCATTAGTTGGCTGAGCAGCAATACTGAGCTCAGAATTGACTAAACTTCTCCAAAATTTCTGCAAGAAGAATAGCAGAAAAGCGACACGTGCAATACGTAAGCAACGTAAACCTCACCCTTACCCCTGCGCAATTGTACTTGGGGTTCCTTCATACTACGCCGCAGGACGCAGCGTGCGCGGCGTGCGCCGCAGGAGCTCTGAGAATGCGTTCACTGCATCGCTTTTTCGCTGATTATGTATGTATGAACGTGAACGTGCAGGAGATATAGAGATACATACATAACCAGCGAAAAGGCGTTGCAGTGAACGTATACAGTCTGCCCCAATCGGGATCAGGCCGAACCGTCGGCTGAATTTGCGCGCTCGCAGCGCTAGGAGATTGCGCTGCATACGCGCGCTGTCGCAGAGAGTGAAGAGATCGAGGAGAGAGCAGACTAGCTAGCCGCAGATGTGGCGCGAAACCCTCGCGGCGCGGACTCCCGCCATGCCGATTTTGGCCTGGTTAGGATTGGGGCAGACTGTATTTTCAGAGCGATTCCTCGGCGCACGCCGCTCACGCCGCGTCCCGCGGCGTATTATGAAGAAACCCTTATTGTGTCGATTCAAGAATGATCTCCGTAGAAACCTTTCTCCCCTTATGACGCCGGAAACGTCAGCAGCGGGTAGCTCTTGTGGAGCACAGAATTTGAGACCGTCGCCTTCCAAGCCACATCTCTTGGAGGCGCAAAAGCATGCTAAAAATGAGACAAAACTAAAATTAAAAAGTACACATACTTATCCGGAACATAAACATAGACACTTTCAACGGAAAAAGTATGTAAAGCGCGTAAAAAGTATGTGCATTGATTTTGTTACCTGAAAAGACGTATACCCAATGTTGATGGCTGACTTATACTGAAACTACAGGGTGTCCCAAAAGTAAGTACACACTTTTCAATTGTTAATATCTCTCTTCCCATTGAGTCTTTTTCCGCCAATCAAGTACCATTCTGAGGAGGAGGTTTCAACTTAGAATTGCTATATCGAGCGAATCACCAATCGCTCTTCATTACCGTAGGATTACTGTAGGAGCTTCGACAAGGATTTTAGGCCATTGGAGGCCATATTCTGCCTCGGAGCAAATCCAAACAAGCCAAAAACTCTTATACTACGGTAATGGGAGCCGCTGATTTCCAATATGAAAGTTTCGCTTTACTGTGATGCTTCTTTCCTAAGTTATCCCCGGTAAATCGTAATAACTCAATTCCCAGCATTTGTCAGAACTGTGATTACACCGTGAAAAAAGCTGAAAACACTCGTAAAAGGTTATGTAGTGCCATCAGCGTGTGCGAAAACCCTAGTGCACGATTTTTCAGATTTTTTGAAAAAAAATTTTGTCATATGGCATATTTCACGATGCTTCCACATGGTGGAAGTTCTTACCGTAATCCTACAGTAACGAAGAGCAATCGGTGTTTCGCTCCATACCGTAAGTCTAAGTTGAAGCCTCCTCTACAGAATGGTATAGGCCATATCAGCCGGCATCGGTCTCGCGTTAGTATGCATTGCGAAATCGCACCGCCGCATACGACGTGCTTTAACGCGTAGCAGAGTTCGCACGCGTCACATCGCACCGTCGCAAGCTGCCGCAGGCGCGACGTCGCATGACCGATGCTGGTTGGTAGAGCCTATACTTGAATGGCGGAAAATACCCAATGGGAAGAGAGATATTGACGATTGAAAAGTGTGCATTTACTTTTGGGACACCCTGTATAAGTGGAAATGGAAAGAGCTGGGAGAAGCTACAGAAGGCACTATTGAAGGATAAGCGAATGAATGCGCTACGAGAAAAGCGCGAGAGAGTTTACTTCTGATTTTAAGAGTAAGCTTCTGAGATTGTCATAATGTATCGATACACTGCAGCGTTATGGCCAGCAGCCGATGAAGCGACGTTTCAACCCTTAAAAGGAATAGCTATTGGAATTAAGAGGATTTAGATAAAAAACTAGAACAAATAAGTCACGTTTCGAAAGTTATTCGACTGGCTTTCTGCTCTCTTTCCAGCACCTATTTTCTCTTCGTAGTCAATCAAATTAGTGCCGAAGTTTTGATTCCATTATTCGATTTTTTTCGTTAGTTGCAAAAACTTATCCAAATTGAAGAAAAATGGATATTTTGAGTAAAGCTGTGTAGTGTTTTTTGTGCTTTTCCGACTGGCTTTGGGAGGCTTTTTTGATGTACCTTAATTTCACGCGGGTAAGGCGCACCTTTGAATTTTCAAATGAGCCGCACAGCCGCCCATTGTATTTCGGAAAGCGATCCTTATGCCGCACGATTCTTTCAAGCAATACACAGCCCGCAGTAGCGCACCCAGGATTTCCGTTCGGGGGGGGGGGGGACGACATTTTTTGATGAAGGGTGGCGGCATGCACCTCTAAAAGACTTTTTGGTATGATTCCTGAAACTTTTGCGGGCCCATAACCACGAAATTTTAGGGAAAGGGGACGTGGCAGCAGTACACCCCCGAAAAGAATTTTTATAAGGCTGGACTGAATTTTTAAATTTTTTATTATATTGATTACTTACAAGGGTAAACAAATCGCTTGCACATTTATAACACGTTGTTATGTTAATGTCTGATCAGTTATTTTCTCGTATGATCTGCCCTCGCTGAGGCGCCTGCGACCTCAATGCGCGGGAAATGAGCGCTATAAAAGGCGCTCGCTATTAGCTATTGTCAGTTCGTCTATTCACTCATCTGCCTCTCTTATCTTCAACTGTCCTATTATTTTCTAATAAATATTCTTTGTTCCTCGTGTGCTACCTCAGGACGAAGAGACGACGTGTCCGACGCGGAGGACACAACAGTGGCGATCAGGAGCGGCGGCTACTAGTCGAAGAAGTAGCCGAACCAACGAAGCCCGAGGAAATCAAATCGACGAAAAGACTGCAAAGAGCGGTCAGAACGAACCGATAGATCAGCATGGCGAAGATTGGCTCAGAGGAAATGCTGATCCTGCTCCAGGAGATGAGAGAGGAACGAAGAGAATTGATGGAGATATTGAAGCACATTACCGGTACTGAACGAAGCAGTACCTCAAACGAAATTCCGAATATGATGTCCGCGCTCAGTAACAGGATCGAAAAGTTCTCCTTCGACCCCGAGGCGGATATGTGCTTCAGCAGATGGTACGCTCGGTACAAGGAAGTCTTTGTCGAAGACGCGAAGCAGCTCACAGAGAGCGCCAGGGTGAGGCTGTTATGCGAAGCTGGACAAGGACAGTTTCGAAAAGTATCAGAGGCATGTACTTCCGAAAGAGGTAACCGCGATTAACTTCGAACAAACCGTCGAAACTCTGAAGCAGCTATTCGACGTCAAGATTTCCGAATTTACAATGCGGTACCAGTGTTTGAAGCTGGAGAAGGCGGATTCCGAAGATTACCTCATGTATACCGGTCGAGTGAACGAACTATGCGAGAAAGCGAAGATCCACGATTTGGATAGCGATGGAATCAAATGTCTCCTATGGATTTTTGGCCTGAAGAGCCAAAAAGAAGCCGAAATCAGGCAGCGACTCATAGCCGTACTGGACAAGGAGTACAAGGCTGGACGAAAGATGTCGCTACAGGAATTATACCTGGAGTGCGAAAACTTCCTCATTCTCAAGAAGGATAGCGAGACTGTGGCTGGTTGCACGAAGATTGTCGAAGCAACAAGCAAGGAAGAACCCAAGAAGCTGGAATGCTGGAACTGTGGTAAAGCTCACTTTGCCAGGAAATGCAAAGCGAAGCTGTGGTATTGCAAGAAGTGCAAGAAGACAGGCCACAAGGAGAAGTATTGCGAACAAGTGGCGGAGAGAAAAGCACTTGTTCAGCAAGATTCGAAACGAAGAATCCACAGAAGCAGCGACACCAGTAAGAACAGAAGTTGGACGAAACTGAAACGTCATGTTCATAGTATTGCGAAGATTGCGAATGCGATGATGGAAGTGAATTCGACTCGCGTATATGTAGAAGCGAAAGTAAATAGCCATCCAGTTAGGTTTCTACTGGACACAGGATCAGATATCACCTTGCTGAACGAAGCGGTTTGGAGAAGTATGGGCACTCCACTGTTGGAAAAAACAAGCGTGATCGTTAAGAATGCTAGCGGAAGCTCCATGACAGTTCATGGAAAGCTATGGTGTGAGTATGAGATTAAAGGATCCAGAAGCGAAGGCTACGCATACGTGACGCCCCACAACTCACTGCTAGGATTGGAGTGGATCCAGAAGAACGAAGATATGTCGTATCACTTAAGCAGAATGGTCGCTGAAGTGAAGACAGAGCAAACCAAGGACATCGCTCTGAAGCTGAAGGAAGCCTATCCAGAAGTCTGCAAGGAAGGTTTAGGGCTCTGCACGAAGGAGAAAGCACACATGAGAATTAACGAAAACGTTCGTCCCCTCCCCTTTTCAAGGCTTGCAGGCCTGTTCCACATGCTGCGCTCGAAGCTGTCGAAA